TTGCATGTGAAATAAGCCTATACCAATCCAGAACCTCATTTACCAGACTCTCCTAACAGATAGCCAAATTGCCCACCGAAAATCCTATATGTATCTGAATACTAATCACGCAGTCAGATCATCTCCGTAACAGTGGCTAATACAGCTTCGTCTTGGAGTCTTGATTGCGGTAAAGGAGCAACTGATTACCTTTTGACACTGGTTCGTCGATAAAGAGATTCTGGTCCTTTCCTTGTCTCGCTTTCATATCGGTTTTCTTTATTTCATCCATCATTTTTATTACCCTTCGTCTTTTTGTTATCCTTGTTTTTTATTATTCCCCTTTTGTCTCCAAGCACATACATCTTAAGAAATACTGATGTTATTATAGTAGAATGTATTTGATGCCTAGTATATTTTTTTCTGATTTTAATTTATGTATTTACCAAAACAAATATATTTTTTACCGTCCTTCTATTTTTCCTCCATCTTTTCCTCATCCACCTTTTCATCCTCCCATCATTCCAAAATCGACAACAAACTCCACCTTCCCTAGAAAAGAACAAAAGACGCACGAAGGAGAAGGAGTCAGTAACCCAGCATGACGTGTAGCTCAGCGGGAATTGACGCAACCGGCATGGCGCCTCGTCTTCCGCTAGTCTGGCCTCTGTTGTTGTCTCAAAGCAGTGACACGTAATTGCCCTGTTAATACTAAGCCCTTACATCCCCCATAATGTAATTTCCGACCAATCAGGCTCAGACATGAGGCCCCTCCCCCTCCCCCGTCCCCTCTGAGTCGTCTTGGTTATGATCCTGAGAAGTCGCTCTTTTTTTCTCTCTCTCTTCTTTTTTTTTACTGTTGTGGGTGATGACGATTGGGATTATTACTGTGGTATTCGATGGGTTGGATATTTTCGATTGGTGACTGTTCTGTCTTTACTGTTACGCCCGATCTCCCTTTACTCGGCGGCAATGAGATTTCACCATGTTATTACATTGTTATCTGTAGTGTTGCCATGCTTGTTGCCGTAACCCGGATGAACTCGTCTAGTATAACAGATTGCCCTTAGTATAAAAAAATGTATTACATGGGCTTACAATAGAGAACAGGACTTGTAAACTGCAATTCCGACATTGCTCCATTTGATATTCAGCTGGCCTGTTTCGCGATTTCGCAATTAATTCTACGGATATGGCACGCCACATTCCACTTACGTTCTAATAGCTCCCTTGCTTGATGTACAAAAAATAACATGATCATATAATTTCCACAAATTTGTTAAAACATACACTTACATTTATATTCTGAATCAGTAATGCATCATGGCCATAGCTAGTCGGGATGGTTGCCTCAATGAATGAACGAACTAAACTCAGCATTCGAAACGGAGGACAATTGGCGTTCTGCTAATCCATTGGATTAATTAACTGTCATGCTTTCCACGATTTTGGCAGTGATATTACCTGATGTGAAACAAGCACATATGCATACACGCACACACACAAGCTCGCACATACATACGCCCACATAAAGAAGTACACACTCGCACACACACACACTTTGCAATGTCATTGACGTAGTTTTCTCTTCATCGAATTTACGAGTCTTACGTGCTCTTGCAGAATCTATAATTTTTAAAAAGCTCTCCATCATTAGGATATTTTGTATTTTTTTATATAGAGATTTGCTTTCTTTCTCATGTTTTTTTTTTCTCTATCTCTCTTCTCTTCTTTTTTTTTCTCTCTCTCTGTCTGTCTACCTGTCTGTCTCCTACCTCCTTTCTCTTCTCTCTCCTCCCCCAGTACTTCCTATCTATCCTCTTCTGTTATTCTTCTTTATCCCTCCTCTTGTTTACCTTTAGCATATCCCTTCTTGTCCGTCATACCAATTTCATCATATCATTTTCCTCATGATGCATTTTTTTTTATAATTTTCATTATGGCCGTTTTTTTTCACAATTATCAAAATTCATCATCTATCATTCTTGACTCTCTCTCCCATTCAACATTCCCTTCTCTCTCTGTTATCATATTTTCCTTCATAGGTATCCGTTTATTAGTTTTCTCTTCCCCTCCCACTCTTCCCCTCTTCTCTTATTCCGTTTCCCTTCCTTGCTCTCCTCTCACCTGTCCACCTTCTCCTTCACCTCCATTCAATCATCCCCTTTCTCTCCTTATCCCTCCTTTCTTTCCATTATTCCCTCCCTCTCCCTTCTTCTCCCTCTCCCCTCCTCTCCCTCATCTAACACCTTACTCATCCTTCCCCTTTCCGCCCTCTTCCCCTCCCTCTCCCTCTCCTCCCCAAACCAGTCCCCTTTTATCACCCCTATCCCCTTCCCCCTATCCCGTCCCTCTCCCTCACCCTCTCCCCTTCTCCCTCTCCTCACGTCCTTCTCCCTCCCTCTTCCCTCTATCTCGTTATGCCTTTGTTTATATTTCGCTCCGCCCATAAGCCCCCTTATCAAGGTTTTAAAGGGACCCCCTCTACCTCTCCCTCCCTCTCTCCCTCCCTCCCTCCCCC